AGAAAGAAAGAAAGAAAGAAAGAAAGAAAGAAAGAAAGAAAGAAAGAGAAAGAAGATAGAAGTGAGAGGAAAGAAATTAGATGATTCAGGAATTTATCCCCCCATCCTTCTTTCTCTCCTACTTAGCGTTAGGGGGTTAAAAGGTGGAATAAGGATGGAGAAGGGTGGAAGAAAAAGAACCCACAAAGTAGCAAAAAGAACAGCTACAACTGTTCTCAAGGAAACCCAGTGAACTCCTTTTCTGACTAGTAGAGTGTCAACGTAAACCCGCTCTCACTGAAGAAGGGCATAGGAGTGAGGGGTGAGGGGATTGCCACTCAATGGAGAACTACCTTCAGCATCTGTGAGGAGGTGGATAGGATGGGGTGAGGACCAGGTTCAAGCACTCCAGAGGAGTAAGGTTGCAGATGTGTGGCTCAGTGCTGGTATACAGTTCTGGGTAATTAAAACTATGTTGGCCTTGTTTCTTGTATTTATAACAAATACTAAATTTTTCAATTCATTGTTATATTGATTTGCCATCCATTATCACATCCAGTTTTAAATTACTTTGATAGTACCAAGAATTCATGTTTAAAGTACACATCTTTTAGGAATTTAAAATGTATGCTTGTGGTGGGTATAATGGTGTCTTCCAGTAATCCTAGCACTCTGGAGGCTCAGTTAAGAGTCATGAGCTCAGGGTAACCCTGGCGTTCATAGTGAACCTTTGCCAAGATGAAGATGGAGTCAAAGAAGAAACAGCAATTTTTTTTATTAGTGGGGAGAGCCAAATGCCATTGGTTTTAGCATAAATGTGCTAAAGCCTTTGAATCTCTTGCATGACAGATGACTAGTGATAAAAGTATATATCTGGAAATGAATAGACCGTGGATATGCTTAGCACAACACTCTCACATTCAGAAGAGACATGCTTGTTGGTGATTTATTTGGAACACATGAGCTGGGTCATGGTCAATACTGAGTTCTTATTTCTTCATTCCATCCTACTAAACAGTCGTGTGTGACCCCAACGGCACAACATAAACATCTGCAGGACATCTGTGGCAGATGAATGATTGTTGCCACCTCCAGACCAACTTGTATACAATGAGAGGCAGAAGACCCAGATCCTACTTCAGTTTTTGTATTAATTACCTTTTTTTTCAGTTTCATATCTGTATAATATGCTCTGGCGACAATCACACCCAACCCTCTACCTCTCTCTGATTCCTGTCCCCTCCCTGCTCCTTAAGAGTACTTTACAACATTCATGGTTTTTGTTTTGCAACCCAGGTAGTGGGGGAAATTTCTAAGAAAAACTATATTAAACAACCTTATGTTAAATAATAAAATAGACTGTGTCTTGCTGCCAATCCCAACTGCTCAGGGATTGGTGAGGGACCCACAGTAGTATAACCTAAAACAAGCAACACAAACCACACCACATATGCGACCATTTAGTATCTTCCTTCAGATTCTACACCCAGGATAACAAACCCAGTGAAACTACACTCAAGACAGAGAATAGCCACTACATCAAGAAGAAATCACACAATGCTTGAACAGCTGAAAAAAACAGCAACACTGTGGGTGATGGGCCGGTGAACATTTTATATTCAAATAGATGTCTGCAGCCTCTCCCTCATTTGCACAGGATGCAGAGCAGAAAACCCAATATTAAATGCTTGATGAAAGCCAAGGACTAGTCTTGGCAATGTTATAAAGGACAAAAACAAGCAGAGAAAGTAGTTCATTATAAAGGATATTGAAGATTGTGACAACTTCACCTGGTTTTAGATTCAGGATGACATGAAATAATGTTATTCCTGGGCCAATTTGCAGATTCAAAGGATGAATGAATAGACTTACTATACTAAGTAAGTGTAATGTATCAAGGTGGGTAGTATTCTATCTATCATCTGTGAGCTTACATTTGTAAACATTTGTATAGAAAACAAAGAGGAGTGCATAGGAAAGAGCATGTGCAGCTTATAAAGTGTGAGCTGCATTTCTCAATACATAAGTAGAAAGAATTAGATGGTGGATGAATGGATAGAGATAGACAGACAGATAACATGGATGGATGGATGGAAGATAGATAGATAGATAGATAGATAGATAGATAGATAGATAGATAGATAGA